TTAAAGCATTAGTACATTACATTTACCAACAAATAAGATTCATTCATGATTATGCCCCCATTTTTTCGAAGAAAAGGGGTTATATTGCTTTGCACTTGTCGGTCCGTCGGTCTGTCGGTCCGTCGGTCCGTAGACCCAAATGGTTTCCGAGTGATAACTAAAGAACCCTTAGGCCTAGGAACTTCAAACTTGGTATGGTGATTGGTTCATGACCAGTAGATGACCCCTATTGATTTTGGGGTCAAGGGTCAAAGGTCAAGGTCACATTGACCTTGTAAGCAAAAACGGTTTCCGATCAATAACTAAAGAACCTTAAGGCCTAGGAACTTCAAAACTTGGTATGGTGATTGGTCATGATCAGTAGATGACTCCCTATGATTTGGGTCAAGGGGTCAAAGGTCAAGGTCACATTGACCTTGAAGGCAAAAAAAACGGTTTCCGATCAATAACTAAAGAACCTTAAGGCCTAGGAACTTCAAACTTGGTATGGTGATTGGTCATTGATCAGTAGATGATCCCTATTGATTTTGGGGTCAAGGGGTCAAAGGTCAAGGTCACATTGACTTTGTAGGCAAAAACGGTTTCTGATCAATAACTAAAGAAACTTTAAGGCCTAGGAACTTCAAACTTTGGTATGGTGATTGGTCATGATCAGTAGAATGACCCCTATTTGATTTTGGGGTCAAGGGGTCAAAGGTCAAGGTTCACATTGACCTCTTGGGTAAAAAAACGGTTTCTGACCAATAAACAAAAAACCCTTAGGCCTAGGAACTTTCAAACTTGGTATGGTGATTGGTTATGACCAGCAGATGACCCCTATTGATTTTGGGGGGGGGGGTCAAAGGTCAAGGTCACATTGACCTTGTAGGTAAAAACGGTTTCCGATCAATAACAAAAAGAAACCCTTAGGCCTAGGAACTTCAAAACTTGATATGGTGATTGGTCATGATCAGTAGATGACCCCCATTGATTTTTGGGGTCAAGGGTCAAAGGTCAAGGTCAACATTGACCTCTTAGGTTAAAAACGGTTTCCGATCAATAACTAAAGAACCTTAGGCCCAGGGACTTCAAACTTGGTATGGTGATTGGTCATGACCAGCAGATGACCCCTATTGATTATGGGGTTAAGGGTCAATGGGCAAGGTCACATTGACCTTGTAGGTAAAAAAAATGCTTTACAATCAATAACTTAAGAACCCTTAGGCTTAGGAACTTCAAACTTGGTATGGTGATTGGTCATGACCAGCAGATGACCTATTGATTTTGGGGTCAAGCGGGTCAAAGGTCAAGGTCACATTGACCCTTGTAGGTAAAAATGGTTTCCGATCAATTAACTAAAAAGGCTTGGCCTAGGAACTTCAAACTTTGTATGATGATTGGTCATGACCAGCAGATGACCCCTATTGAGTTTTGGGTCAAGGGGGTCAAAGGTCAAGGTCACATTGACCTTGTAAGTAAAAAAACGGTTTTCAGATCAAAAAACTTAAGAACGCTTAGGCCTAGGAACTTCAAACTTGGGTATGGTGATTTGTCATGACCAGCAGATTACCCCTATTGATTTTGGGATCAAGGCGGTCAAAAGTCAAGGTCACATTGACCTTGTAAGTAAAAAGGGTTTCTGATCAATAACTAAAGAACGCTTCGGCCTAGGAACTTCAAACTTGGCATTGGTGATTGTCAATGACCAGCAGATGACCCCTATTGATTTTGGGTCAAAGGTCAAGGTCACATTGACCTTGTATGTTAAACGGTTTTCCGATCAATAACTAAAGAAAACCCTTAGGCCTAGGAACTTCAAAACTTGGTATGGTGATTGGTCATGACCAGCAGATGACCTATTGATTTTGGGTCAAGGGTCAAAGGTCAAGGTCACATTGACCTTGTAGGTAAAAAACGGTTTCCGATCAATTAACTAAAAAACGCTTAGGCCTAGGAACTTCAAACTTTGTATGATGACTTGGTCGTGACCAGCAGATGACCCCTATTGAGTTTTGGGTCAAGGGGTCAAAGGTTAAGGTCATGACCAGTAGATACTTGATAACCCTTATTAATTGTTTGATCACTGGGTCAGAAGTCATGCATAATAACCTTATCACATGACTAATTGGCTGCAGATAGGGGGCATACATGTTTTACAAACATATCTTGTTTTCTTTGGTGTATACAGCTTATCGTGCTTAAGAAGTTCAGCCATAGAAAAATATTTTCAGAGTCACTTGTCCTGCAGAACAAGTAGCTTCTAAATCCAATGTGCAGACAACATTGTTCTACTAGTCCTGCTTTGAATTCTCTTAAATTCTACTCGTAATTACGACAAGTGGAATTTTCGGTCTCTGAAGTTAAATGAATGACCAACATTGTTGATAGATTCAGTAATTATTCATAAAAAAATAAAGAATAATACCATTGATATCAAGGTCATTAAAAGACATGACAGTTAACATATGAAAAAATCATAGTAAAATTCTTAGTTCTGGGATTTTTTCTATAAAAAGCATTTTGGAACAGATTTTTTTTTGTTATTTTACGGGTAGGAGCTGGAAATCTGTATATTTTTGGAAGAGGGAAAAAATTTGGGATATAAATAAAGAAATTTTAGAAATTAGGATAGATATTCACTGATTAGAGAGGTTATGGGGAAAAGTAGTCTCTATAGATTTTAAGTGATGCAGGCTGGAATTAGATTTAGGTTTCTTGATGCAGATTATGAAATTTGCTGTGCAAATGAAATTTGGTTTAAGGGTTACCTTGGTAATGAATACTAAAAAACAGATAACTAATGTTTTCATTATGTGACTATTAGTGAACTGAATTGGAGTTTTTACTTTGGGAGAGAAATTATTTGTACTGAAGGCCCTAGGGTAGGTTTTTGATTGTTTGCCAGGATTTATGAACTGTGTATTGCTAGCCAGGTGCACTCCAATTCAGTCCATGATTGAGACCTGACAGTTCACAAACCAGTTACCTTGAATCATCTAATTGTAGTTATATCCAATGAAATTAAAAAAAAAAGTTGTTTAAAATACACTTGTAATGAAAAATTAAAAGTACATGTAAAAAATGAGTTCTACATTATTCCTGTAACAACAGGTATGAACAACAGGTATGAATATGAAGTTTAGCTGAAAGTAAATGTTTTAGAACAGGGTACAAATGTATATGCGTGTGAAATGTAAACAAGATTAAGCTTAACACTGAAATGATAGTTTTTTCTGAAGTTTTTTATGCAATAATTGAAGAGTTTTATAAAATAAGTTATTATACCCCCACAAACGAAGTTTAGGGGGGGTATATAGGAGTCAGCTTGTCGGTCGGTCGGTCCGTCGGTCGGTCGGTTGGTCCGGCGGTCGGTCCACATCATGGTTTCCGGACGATAACTAGAGTTTAGAATGAGGTATTGTAATCAAACTTGGTATATAGCAACCTTATGTGGAAACTCCGGTTGGTATTGCATTTGGACCCCCTGGGGTCAAGGTCAAGGTCACCGTTACTAAAAATAGAAAAATGGTTTCCGGACAATAACGAGAGTTAGGAATGAGATATTGTTATCAAACTTGGCGTATAGCAAGCTTATATGAAGACCTGGGTTGGTATTGCATTTGGGTTCTCTGGAGTCAAGGTCAAGGTCACTGTTACTAAAAATAGAAAAATGGTTTCCGGACAATAACTTGACTTAGGAATGACATATTGTAATCAAACTTGGTGTATAGCAAGCTTATATGAAGACCTGGGTTGGTATTGCATTTGGACCCCCTGGGGTCAAGGTCAAGGTCACCATTAGGAAAAATAGACAAATGGTTTCCAGACAATAACTAGAGTTAGGAATGAGATATTGTAATCTAATTTGGTGTAAAGGAAGCTTATATGAAGACCTGGGTTGGTATTGCATTTGGACCCCCTAGGGTCAAGGTCACCGTTACAGTGTTACTAAAAATAGAAAATGGTTTCCGGACAATAACAAGAGTTAGGAATGAGATATTGTTATCAAACTTGGCGTATAGCAAGCCTATATGAAGACTTTGGTTGGTATTGCATTTGGGCCCCCTTGGGTCAAGGTCAAGGTCACCGTTACGAAAAATGGTTTTCGGACAATAACTAGAGTTAGGAATGAGATATTGTAATCTTATTTGGTGTATAGGAAGCTTATATGAAGACCTGGGTTGGTATTGCATTTGGACCCCCTAGGGTCAAGGTCACTGTTACAGTGTTACTAAAAATAGTAAAAATGGTTTCCTGACAATAACTAGAGTTAGGAATGAGATATTGTAATCAAACTTGGTGTATAGCAAGCTTATTTCGAGACCCCAGTTGCGATTACAATTAATTGAAATATTTCTTTGTACACAGTTGATAGTTTGTGTTCAAATTTTTCTTCAGACTACTTTTTTTTCAAAAAGTCAAAGTTGTTGGTGGGGGTATTAATCACCTTCAGTGATAGGTCTAGTTAACATTGGTTTGAATTGTGAACCAGTGATCTTAGGACTAATGGATACCCCTGTATTGTAAAGGTCTGAACCGCAAATATTCGATATACTTGTTACAGCTATAATATTGATGATATACTTTTTGTGCAATTCTTTCGCTATGATCCAGAGAAAAAAAAATCATTAATTTAGACTCTTATTTAAGACAATTAACATTATTTGAATTGAAATTCTAAGGGAAAAAAACAAAACAAACGAAAACAGGCACTTGACCAAATATCATATGGAACAAACATTTTTTTAATTGGCTGTAAAAATATTGAAAAAATAGAGTGATTTTTTTTTTTTTAACTGAAACTTAATTTACTTACCATACAGAAGCTCCAAGATTAGACATTCATTAAAAAGAGAAACTGACCATCCGTCTGTTATAACATTTTAATTTTAACCTTGATTTTATGTTTCAAAGTTTTACATCTTGCTATTACAATGCTAAACAAAGAAGTATATATGCTTTATTTGGTACATATAGTTATACAGCTATATCATATTAATAATGTTTATTACATTTGACAGGTGCTCAGGTTGATTGCTGTGATAAAGTGGGGAACACGCCACTCCACATAGCTGCCAGATACGGTCACGAATTACTGATTAATACCTTGCTAGAAAACGGGTCTGATCCAACAAGGTAAGTTGGTCAGGGGTATCAAGTTAAACTAGTAGTGATTTTTCACTCTTTCTTTGGAAGAGATTCAGATCAGGCCAGTGGGGAAATCTTTTAGACATGAAAAGAACGGGTCCATGGCCAAGATGTTAAGGTCGTTGATGTGTTAAACCCCTTGCCTCTCACTGTTGTGGGTTTAAATTCTGACCTTGGATTCTTTCATTCAAGGAAGCTATCCAGCTAGCTAACAAGGTGTATGAGGTTCTACTCAGGTGCCCATTAATGCATGAAATAATGCATGGAATGGCACCCAAGATCTTCCTCTACCAGTAAAGCTTGAGAGTTGCCATATGACCTATGCAGTGTTGGTGTGATGTAAAACCTAACACACAAAAAAAAGTTGTGAAACAAGGTTGTTTGTTGGTAAAAATCAGGTTTTAACAACATTATTTTAATGAATTTGAATAATCATGGTCCCCATTTTGGGAAAAATTGATTATTTGAAATAGGTCTGTTTTTCAGTTTTAAGAAAGAAGATAATAGTGTGAAATATTTTATGCAAAAATAACTACAACCCTGATTATTCTATTATTAAAAAATGATTTGGAGCGTTCAAAATATAAACAGGAAAGAGAATGCAGGGTTTTCATTATTAACCAATTGATGATCCATATCATCGGTTGAAATGCTGTTAAAATTGGACATATTTTCAGCTTTTAGATTAAAATATCCCCTAGACCCTTGGCCAAATCCTTTTTCATTGGCGCATCTGTTGCCTCAGATAAAAATAAAAACCCTGAGAATGTTAGATAGTAATGTCTATTTGGTGATGTTTTTGGCAGGTTATTTTAAAATGTACTAATATTATATTATAGACGTGGTGTACACGGGATGATGGCAATACATGTAGCGGCCCTGTACGGTCATATGGACTGTGTTAGAAAATTACTATCTGTGATGCCTGAATTAGATCTTAACGTCCCTGATGACTGTGGTAGAACCTGCCTTCATGCTGCTGCTTGTAGTGGGTAAGTAAAGGTCTTCATGTTTATAGTAGGTTAGTTAAATATCTGAAATAAAGTGATCCCTGGGAAGCATTAAAAATGGCAAAATTACATGAAAATTGCAGACTCGGTACGATTGAGTCTGTACATATGTAATGGGTAAGTTGAGCTGTATTAAGTGGGTAAGTTCAGCTACATGTAGTGGGTAAGTAAATGTTTTATGTATTAGAATAATTAAGCTGTATTAAGTGGGTAAGTTCAGCTTATATAGTGGGTAAGTAGCAGAATAATCAAGCTGTATTTAGTGGGTATGTTATTCTATATATACTGTTGGCTGACTAGCTCAAAATGTTCATATCCTTAAAATTTGGAATATGAAAATGTCCATTTAAGCAGATTTAATACAAAACTCCAATACAAAAGATCTCATCAATTAATGAATTTGAAAGCTGTTCATTTTGTATGCTAATTAAAGGAGTTTTATATTGTTTTACAGGAAGATTGACAATGTTGAGATGCTGATAAAAGGGGGAGCCAATGTTAATCAAGAGGACACAGCCGGAAGGTATGGTCACATTTTATTGTCAGCAAGTTAGTCACTAAAGTGGCATTTATCAATAGGAATTATGGCAAAATTTTCTAAAATCTTAAAATTTTGACCTTGAAGGTCAACATTAGTTCATATTTAAACAGGTTAACATGTAATTTTTTGTCCAACTGTTGTGTCCATGTATTGATGGTTCTAGCTTACAGAATGAATTTGTACTAGTTATGTTTTAAGTTCTCTTTAGAGAGATGGTAGAAACAGGTAAAAAAAATAACCAGGGGTACAACAATAATTTAAAGGCACATTATTCCTCAGAAACAAATAAATATTTTCTTCCTTAAAAAGGGCAAATTTCGACTTCAATACAAAATTGTAAATCACTATTATTGAACACACCAGCAGCAATAGATGGTTCAAGTATTTGGCCGCCAATTTGTAACTTTCTTGAATCTATAAACGGACACAAAAAAATAAAAAGTTTTTGAGAAGTAAAATAAAAGGAATACTGGGGCAAAATGGGCCTTTAATGATATCATGGTATTGCACCTTCACCCCAGATCCATTTATAGACATGCAAAAGAACAATATCATTTTTTCACTGGTACAATTGTTTTTTTCAGGTTTCCTATACATTACGCAGCTGCAAACGTACACCATGGATGTGTATTTTCTCTGCTAAATGCGGGCAGTGCAGTAGATGTACAGGATCACGCGGGTTGCACACCATTACACTTTGCTGCTGCAGCCGCTGCTGATGATGATGCTAAGTAAGTTAAAATACCTGAACAAATATTAGATATATCAATTGCTAATAATGTGAGAGTTGGTTGTTTGAAGAACGAAATTTTATTTGAATGAAAACGAAAAAATTTAAACTTCCTCCTATTAACCTCATTTTATGATTTTATTGACCTTTCCCTTAATGTTCTGTCCCAGTTATTTATTAGGACTGAGGACAGACAAAAGGACAATAATTATGTCTCCCCCACCTTGGGGGGAGACATATTGTTTTTGCCCTGTCCGTCCGTCCGTCAGTCCGTCCGTCAGTCCGTCCGTCCATTCTTCGTTTCCGGACGATAACTAGAGTTCCTTTTGACCTACAGCCCTCAAACTTCATAGGATGATTGGTCTTATAGAGCTGATGATCCCTATTGTTTTTGGGGTCAGTAGGTCAAAGGTCAAGGTCACAGTGACCGTTGGTCAATTTCTCGTTTCCGGATGATAACTAGAGTTCCTTTTGACCTACAGCCCTCAAACTTCATAGGATGATTGGTCTTATAGAGCTGATGATCCCTATTGTTTTTGGGGTCAGTAGGTCAAAGGTCAAGGTCACACTGACCGTTGGTCAATTTCTCGTTTCCGGATGATAACTAGAGTTCCTTTAGACCTACAGACCTCAAACTTCATAGATGGATTGGTCTTATTGAGCAGATGATCCCTATTGTTTTTGGGGTCAGTAGTTCAAAGGTCAAGGTCACAGTGACCGTTGGTCAATTTCTCGTTTCCGGATGATAACTAGAGTTCCTTTTGACCTACAGCCCTCAAACTTCATAGGATGATTGGTCTTAAAGAGCTGATGATCCCTATTGTTTTTGGGGTCAGTAGGTCAAAGGTCAAGGTCACACTGACCGTTGGTCAATTTCTCGTTTCCGGATGATAACTAGAGTTCCTTAAGACCTACAGACCTCAAACTTCATAGGATGATTGGTCTTATTGAGCAGATGATCCCTATTGTTTTTGGGGTCAGTAGTTCAAAGGTCAAGGTCACAGTGACCGTTGGTCAATTTCTCGTTTCCGGATGATAACTAGAGTTCCTTTTGACCTACAGCCCTCAAACTCATCAAAATCCTTCAAAGGATTGAAGAGTTATGGAGCAGACACAATTTCCTTTAATTTCGTTTGTGAAACTATATATGATATGACATTCAAGTGTCAAGTAGACCTTGACCTTGGAACCAGCCATACGAAACATGTACTCTACACGTTCTCTGGATGTGGTGAATTTTTGTTTCAAGTATCTACCAGAGAGGCTTCATTGTGAAAACGAGTGGAGTCATCCCAACACACTACAGTTATCATGATTTTACATACATTGTAATTTGAGTTGTCTTTCAATAGTGTAAAAAAATCTGACAATATGAACGTTTGTTTCAAGTATCATCAAAATCCTTTAAAGGTTTGAAGAATTATGGAGCAGACACAATTTCATTTAATTTCATTTGTGAAACTATATATGATATGACCATCAAGTGCAATTTCGTTTGACGCCCGCCTGCCATACGCTGATTGAATAACCAGGATTTTCAAAATTGAATACCTGGTTAAAAACAAACAGTTTAGGAAGCATCTTCTCATACAACCTTAACAATAGAAACCATCCATAGACAGCCTTCATTGAAGTGACTACCGGGTATTTACATTATCTTATCTCCATTTCCATTCCTGTTTCCATTCACAGTTATTCTCAGCAGTGGGGGAGACATGCGCTTTTTTACAAAAGCATCCTCTAGTTTGATTCCTGTCCCATTTTTCCTTGGGTCGAAGGGGCCAGGGTTACGAATAGGTGGTGTACTCATAATGGTGATTAGAATCAATTCCAATGCACTTAGCAGTCCTTATTCATATAATACAAGTTAGCTTACATATATATGTTTCTTCAAACCATTGTGTTTTTAACACCTGAGGTTTGCCAAAAATCATCTTTCCATATGACCTATACTGTATTGGTGCGCTGTAAAACCAAACAAACAAACAACCATTGTTAAAGAAACTTCAGAGGAATACTCCATGGGTAGTACTGTATCAAAATGATCTTACAAATATATATTGAATGGTGTTTATATATTTTCAGGGTACTGGAGTTACTGTTGAAGCACGAGGCTCGGCCAGGAATTTCTGACAATCAGGGATACAATGCTATACATTACGCAGCTTTAAAGGGGCACAGATTAGCCCTTGAAATGGTAATTGTTATTTATGGATGTAATAGATGATAATATTAATATGGATGTAATAGATATAATAAAATTAGAATGAATAAATTATATAAAAAATATCTGATCCCTCAGAAGGTGATAGAACAAAATATGAACTCAAAAAAAAATCTTATAATTTCTACCAACACTAGCAATGTTTTGATTGTTATTAAAAAATGTTATTCATCTTTAAGCTTAATTTAATAAGACAGAATTAGAATCAGTTTAATTTCATAAGTACATATATTAGTTTAAAGAATTTGTTATGTGTAAAACATAATCTATTTACAATTTAAAGATATGTGCGATAAGTCTGTTTTAATTCAGATATTGGTTCTTTAAGCTATTTTAAGTGCAAAATTTTAGGAAAAATGTGTCTTCTGTTTTTGATATATACACATTCAGCACATCTTAAGTTAATTTCAGCCACAATTTTAAAAATATATAAATTTATACTCAATATTTTATTGTTATTTTCAGTTACTAGATGTATCAGCAATAAACTTGGTTAAAGGGGAAGCCCCTTATTCTCCTGCCCATCTGAGTGTAAGTCAATATTAAACTTTATTGCCTAAATAAAATGCATTCAACAGATTTGATTGGTTAATAATGATACAAATATTGTAAAATATTGCACTTTATTTTAAAAACAAAATTACTCAAGGAAAATTAATTATTTCATCTCTGTGCAAGTGTTTCCAACATCTATAATACAGGCAATTCTGGACTGGCCTCACTGATGGAATGTTTTGGGGTTTTTTAATCCCCCAGTATGAGCATTATCCCCCTCCCCAGCATCCCTACTTTGCCCCATATTGCAGTGGTTTAGCATGTTTTATATAAGGAAATTTAAAAAAGAAATTCAACATATTGCATATCCACGTCTGCATTTCATATTCTTTCAAGGCATTTTATTTATATATTTTGCCCTCTTGATGTAGTGGTTCCTCTACTTTACTTACCAGAATAATAGGTCTGGTCATTGCATTGTTAATATAATGTGACTGGGCAAGGTGTTGTGTCAGTCCATCTTTACTGTAATATTTCATTAAAGCAGTATTATAAAATTTCGACATTTTGCTCATCGCAAACCATGCTAATTGTCCCATATAGATTTGCACTATTCTTGTAGGAGACTTATAAAAGTAAAAAGTAAAAGTAATTGCATTTTATAGTCTAAGTTTCATGCTTACGCACGTTCACCGACTTTACAGCTATTACCCCTGGTCATCGGGCTACTGGTATCTATCAATCAATCTCCCTGGGGAGTCTTTTAACTCCGCTTAGTGCAGCCGACACTTGGCGCAACAGAATTATACCACCCTCGCAGGTACCCATTTACACCTGGGTGAAGTGAAGCAATCGCAGGTAATTTTCTTGCTCAAGGAAATTAGCAGTGCCCCTGGTGGGGTTCGAACCCGGGACCTCTTGATCCCTAAGCGCGCGTCCTACCACTGGACTACTGCTCCTACAATATATATACATATCTTATCCCTGCTTGATCATAAGAGGCAACTTAAAATTACTGGTGTCTACGCATCTCTTATCTCCGGCAGGTGGGGTAGTTTTAACCTCTGTGTTGCTTCAAGTTTGTAACAACCGAAGTTAGCCAATATCATCTATCCTGTTTCGGCACCGTATGACCTAAATTGTGTTGGTATGCTGTTACACCACACTTAAAATTCTAGAACACCTGTTCACTGTTTTGAAAAAGACCTCAATCTTTCCCAATCATTGAAAGTGTTTCTCTTGTGTGACTGCTTTCCCTGTTAAGATCATTGTTTCTGAATCATTTTTCCTACAAAGTTCGAAGCACTATTAGGTGCCTGTATGTGATTGGTAAAAAATATAAATAGATATCTTTGCATATCTGTCCAATGGTTATAGCTGGAAAGTTGCCTGATGACATTAACATTGTCTAAGTGAATCAAACTAAACCAAGGGAAAAAAAAGCCTTGTTGTTTTTAAGGTTAGCCAAAATCAACTTTCCGTTTCGGCACCATATGACCTAAAATGAGTTGGTGAGCTGTTAAACCAAACAGACAAACCTTGATATACTAGTATACCTGAACTTAACACAACAGTCGTCTGGAATCTGAAAGTCTAAATCCTACCACCCCTTAGGAGTTTGTTGTCACAGTTAACTGGTACATTACAAGTGACTGTTTAGAATTCGAAGCAGAAAGAGTCCACCTCACAAATATAGGGGATAAAAGTTTACACTGTTTCACTATATATTTCAGGCATCTCGTGGACATAATGAAGCACTGCTTGTATTGTTGTCGTGTGTTATGAACCTTGAAATCCGAGATGTTAATGGTATATTTATGTTTTTGTTTTATGTTTACTAACAAAAAATTATGTTTTCAGTGAGATATCATTTATGTCTCATCTCACAACATTTTTCATATAATTTAAAAAGTTAGTTTGATTTAAAGTGTATAGCTACATGTATACTAGCAAAATGGACAGAATTAATGTATAGTCAGGGACTTTTGATACAGAGGCATTTTTTTTCTAGAATAATTCTTTAAATTGTTAAAAATGACTCAAAAATGATATGATTTTCATTTCTGAGTATATATCTTAATTATCTTTTGCATGTCTTCCTGTTTTATGTATCCCAGCTGATCTATGTTAGAAATTCAAACTTTATGTTTTTAAGCCTTTTGGACCTCAGTGGAGTTCCTTTAACAGCATCCAAACCACACAACAAATTAATAACACTAAACTCTAACGATATATTAATTTAATTTAAAAATGCACATATACAGATATTTTTTTATTTCATTACAAAGTATATGAAGATGTAATCAATAATCTTGCTACAGGACGAACCATGCTGGACCTAGCGTGTTTTAATGGTCATACAGAATGTGTAGAGACGTTACTACTTCAAGGTGCCAGTATAATCGTACATGATAACATCTCACGTAGGACACCACTTCACGCTGCAGGTATATAGATAGTTTAATTGTTCTTTAGTGAGCATAAATTTCAAAATTTGACAAAACACAACATATTTTGCTTTGAAAGCAATTTAGAGCATAAATTCTGTAAATGTATAATTTTATTACAATGCTTCAGCTTTTGCAATGCTTCAGCTGTGACAATGCTTCAGCTGTGACGATACTACAGCTGTGACAATGCTTCAGCTGTGACAATACTTCAGCTGTGACAATACTTCAGCTGTGACGATACTTCAGCTGTGACGATACTTCAGCTGTGACAATGCTTCAGCTGTGACAATGCTTCAGCTGTGATGAAGTTTCAGCTGTAAAATACTTCAGCTGTGACGATACTTCAGCTGTGACAATACTTCAGCTGTGACAATGCTTCAGCTGTGACGATACTTCAGCTGTGACAATACTTCAGCTGTGACAATGCTTCAGCTGTGACGATACTTCAGCTGTGATGATACTTCAGTTGTGACAATACTTCAGCTGTGACGATACTTCAGCTGTGAGGATACTTCAACTGTGATGATACTTCAGTTGTGACGTTACTTCAGCTGTGATGATACTTCAGTTGTGACGATACTTCAGCTGTGACGATACTTTTAGCTGTGATGATACTTCAGTTGTGAGGATACTTCAGCTGTGATGATACTTCAGTTGTGACAATGCTTCAGCTGTGATGATACTTCAGCTGTAACAATGCTTCAGCTGTGATGATACTTCAGTTGTGACGTTACTTCAGCTGTGATGATACTTCAGCTGTGACGATACTTCAGCTGTGACGATACTTTAGCTGTGATGATACTTCAGCTGTGACGATACTTTAGCTGTGATGATACTTCAGTTGTGACAATGCTTCAGCTGTGACGATACTTCAGCTATGACGATACTTCAGTTGTGACGATACTTCAGCTGTGATGATACTTCAGTTGTGACGATACTTCAGCTGTGATATACTTCAGTTTGTGAATGATACTTCAGCTGTGACGATACTTTAGCTGTGACAATACTTCAGCTGTAACAATGCTTCAGTTGTGATGATACTTCAGCTGTGACGATACTTCAGTTGTGACGATACTTCAGCTGTGATGATACTTCAGTTGTGACGATACTTCAGCTGTGATATACTTCAGTTGTGATGATACTTCAGCTGTGACGATACTTTAGCTGTGACAATACTTCAGCTGTAACAATGCTTCAGCTGTGACGATACTTCAGCTGTAACAATGCTTAAGCTGTGCCGATACTTCAGCTGTGAAATGCTACAGCTGTGACGATACTTCAGCTGTGACAGTACTTCAGCTGTGACGATACTCAGCTGTGATGATACTTCAGCTGTGATGATACTTCAGTTGTGACAATGCTTCAGCTGTGACAATGCTTCAGCTGTGAAATGCTTCAGCTGTGACAATGCTTCAGCTGTGACAATGCTTCAGCTGTGACAATGTTTCAGCTGTAACAATACTTCAGCTGTGATGATACTTCAGCTGTGACAATAGTTCAGCTGTAACAATACTTCAGCTTTGATGATACTTCAGCTGTGAAATGCTACAGCTGTGACAATGCTTCAGCTGTAACAATGCTTCAGCTGTGACGATACTTCAGCTGTGATGATACTTCAGCTGTGACAATGCTTCAGCTGTAACAATGCTTCAGCTGTGACGATACTTCAGCTGTGATGATACTTCAGCTGTGATGATACTTCAGCTGTGACAATGTTTCAGCTGTAACAATACTTCAGCTGTGATGATACTTCAGCTGTGAAATGCTACAGCTGTGACAATGCTTCAGCTGTAACAATGCTTCAGCTGTAACAATGCTACAGTTGTGATGATACTTTAGCTGTGACAATGCTTCAGTTGTAACAATGCTTCAGCTGTGACAATACTTCAGCTGTGACAATGCTTCAGCTGTAACAATGCTTCAGCTGTGACAATACTTCAGCTGTGACAATGCTTCAGCTGTGGCAATGCTTCAGCTGTAACAATGCTTCAGCTGTAACAATGCTTCAGCTGTAACAATGCTTCAGCTGTGACAATACTTCAGCTGTAACAATGCTTCAGCTGTGGCAATGCTTCAGCTGTAACAAATGCTTCAGCTGTAACAATGCTTCAGCTGTAACAATGCTTCAGCTGTAACAATGCTTCAGCTGTGACAATGCTTCAGCTGTGACAATGCTTCAGCTGTAGCAATGCTTCAGCTGTGACAATACTTCAGCTGTGACAATGCTTCAGCTGTGGCAATGCTTCAGCTGTAACAATGCTTCAGCTGTAACAATGCTTTAGCTGTAACAATGCTTCAGCTGTGACAATGCTTCAGCTGTGACAATGCTTCAGCTGTGACAATGCTTCAGCTGTGACAATGCTTCAGCTGTAACAATGCTTCAGCTGTAACAATGCTTCAGCTGTAACAATACTTCAGCTGTGACAATGCTTCAGCTGTGATGATACTTCAGCTGTGACAATGTTTCAGCTGTGATGATACTTCAGCTGTGACAATGCTTCAGCTGTAACAATGCTTCAGCTGTAACAATGCTTCAGCTATGACGATACTTCAGCTGTGAAATGCTACAGCTGTGACAATACTTCAGCTGTGGGATGCTACAGCTGTGATGATGCTTCAGCTGTAACAATGCTTCAGCTGTGACGATACTTCAGCTGTGACAATGCTTCAGCTGTAACAATGCTTCAGCTGTGACGATACTTCAGCTGTGAAATGCTTATTCTGTGATGATACTTCAGCTGTGACAATGCTTCAGCTGTGACAATGTTTCAGCTGTGATGATACTTCAGCTGTGATGATACTTCAGCTGTGATGATACTTCAGCTGTGACAATGCTTCAGCTGTGACAATGCTTCAGCTGTGACAATGCTTCAGCTGTGACAATGCTTCAGCTGTGACAATGCTTCAGCTGTAACAATGCTTCAGCTGTGACAATGCTTCAGCTGTGACAATGCTTCAGCTGTGACAATGCTTCAGCTGTGACAATGCTTCAGCTGTGACAATGCTTCAGCTGTAACAATGCTTCAGCTGTAACAATGCTTCAGCTGTGACAATGCTTCAGCTGTAACAATTCTTCAGCTGTAAACAATACTTCAGCTGTGACAATGTTTCAGCTGTGACGATTCTTCAGCTGTGACGATATTTCAGCTGTGACAATGCTTCAGCTGTGACAATGCTTCAGCTGTAACAATGCTTCAGCTGTAACAATGCTTCAGCTGTGATGATACTTCAGCTGTGATGATACTTCAGCTGTGACAATGCTTCAGCTGTAACGATATTTTAGCTGTGACGATGCTGCAGCTGTGACAATAATGACAAAAACTTTACTCTTTGTATTGTACATAGTAATGTAAATATGTCAGCCACCAGTATAGAGCCAGGTCAGACTACACGATTGTGTAGGCTGGCCTGGCCTTATACTTGTGACATAGGATAATCACTTTGGTTGCAATAGGTTGGGGATTAATTAGTTAAGTGACTGTTTTTATATTTCAGCTATAAATGGTCATACAGAATGTTTACGGTTACTAATGGAAACATCTGATGATAATAATATTGTAGATATCAACGATGCCAGAGATAGGTATATACAGTTTAATTTGCTTCATTGTTTAGTGGAACAGTATTTATTTAAGGACGTTTTCATATAGACATAGGCAAAATTAAAACTGTTCAATAGAATTTCTTTAAACTTGGCATGTTGTTAGAATATGATAACAGAAACGTTTTAAGCGGAAAAAAAATTGGGGTCACCATTCTTGTTTTTAGCTCGACTATTCGCAGAATAATCGAGCTAATGCAGTCACCCATTTGTCGGCGTCGGCGTCCCTGTGGTTAAGTTTTTGCGTGCAAGCTGGTATCTCCATAACTACTGAAGGGAATGGATTGAAACTTCACACACTTGTTCTCTGTGATTATCTAACATGATTGGCACAAGTCCCATTACTCTGATTTGCTCTTTTGCATAATTATGCCCCTTTTTCAACTTAGAAATTCTTGGTTAAGTTTTTGCGTGCAAGCTGGTATCTCCATAACTACTGAAGGGAATGGATTGAAACTTCACACACTTGTTCTCTGTGATTATCTTACATGATTGGCACAAGTCCCATAACTCTGATTTGCTTTTTTGCATAATTATGCCCCTTTTTTGACTTAGAAATTCTTGGTTAAGTTTTTGCGTGCAAGCTGGTATCTCCATAACTACTGAAGGGAATGGATTGAAACTTCACACACTTGTTCTCTGTGATTATCTAACATGATTGGCATAAGTCCAATAACTCTGATGTGCTTTTTTACATAATTATGCCCCTTTTTCGACTTAAAATTCTCGGTTAAGTTTTTGCGTGCAAGCTGGTATCTTCATAACTACTGAAGGGAATGGATTGAAACTTCACACACTTGTTCTCTGTGATTATCTTACATGATTGGAATAAGTCCCATAACTCTGATTTGCCATTTTGCATAATTATGCCCCTTTTTCGACTTAAAAATTTTTGTTAAGTTTTTGCATGCAAGCTGGTATCTCCATAACTTCTGAAGGGAATGGCTTGAAACTTCACACACTTGTTCTCTGTGATTATCTTACATGATTGGCACAAGTCCAATAACTCTGATTTGCTCTTTTGCATAATTATGCCCCTTTTTCTACTTAAAATTCTTGGTTAAGCAAATATCTCCACAACTACTGAAGGGTTTGTGCCTTTTTTGAACAATTTTATGCATTTTATAATAATAAAGCAGTGATTAACTCGATAAAACATCTTAATAACAAGCACTTGTACCTTTTCGGACAGTTTTATATATTCATATAGGTAAGCATTATTATACTCAATGAAACACACTTGTGACAACTTTTCGAATAGTCGCGCGTTACTGTCCTCCGACAGTTCTTGTTGAGTTATCTGCCCTTGAATTGGACTTTTTATGTTAAATTCAAGGGCAGATAATTTACAATGAAGGGAATTAATACAATTTTTCTTTCTTATTTTCATGAAGCTTACCTTCGTTTTAGTCGGTAGTTTTTATTCCCACTTCATCTTTTAACCTGTGCATTTTTTCTTAAAAAATGGTCTTTATTTTCATTGAAAAAAAGCAACAGAAACGAAGGAATTACATATTATTATGTATTGTAATCAACAATAAAAAGAAAAACATAATCCAGAAGTAGAAACAAGAATTCATTTAAGTATGTATAAGTTATCTGCCCTTGAAATGACCTCAAATAAGTAGAAAAGTCTGATTCAGGGGCAGATAACCCTAAAACGAGAACGGTGACCCAAATTTTTTTTTCGCTTAAAATATTTCTGTTATCATAATCTAATAACATGCCAAGTTTAAAGAAATTCTATTGAACAGTTTTAATTTTGCCTATATGTTTATATGAAAACTCCCGAAAACGTCTTTAAGCTGGATTTTGAAGAAGGCTTATTTGAGTCTGATTGATTACTAAGCAACCACATCCTTTTGCTTCATAATTTAGTCGCAAACACTTTGAATAGTACAGAAGACAATAGTAGAGGACTAATGCCACCAGTGTAAATCTGTCAGTTCGATCCTCATGCAAGGTGGTATATCTCCATGACCATTAATCTTGGGCATTAAGTCAAATTTGTCTTATTCAGAAATTGTGTGAGATTCGTAGTCAAGTCACTTGCAGAGCATTTTGTAATTACTAGGAAGTTATGCAGGAAAGCCAGTTATATGGATTGACTGCTGTAATGTGAAATCATTTTAACATCTAAAACAAGGACAGAGCCAGGCCAGCCAAACTTTAATATTTGATAGCAAAAACAAAGTATTAACAAGATTATAGAAGGGGAGATCAACATGTTAAATACTATGGTATTTTGATATTATTTGATAATAAGGTCAACCAGTTTTGACCCACTGAGACATTTCACTAGGATCGGTTAATTCCAATATAAAATGAAGACGTATCAACTTAATTTTATTAACTGAAAAATATTGAACATTTGTGAATCACACGTTTGTGTTTTTCTTACAGAACACCTCTCATGTTAGCCATTGAGAATGGCCATGTGGACACAGTTCTATATCTGATAGCAAATGGTGCCATAGTAAATGCTCGTGATATTCAGGGTCGTACAGTTCTTCATAGAGGGGTAAGTAACTGCTTAATTGACATCTTATTTATAACCTTTATTTATTACATGGATACTAATGGCCAATAGATTAATGTTTATATATCCGCAAGATGACCATCTAAATTTGAAATATTAATCATAAATAGTAGTACAAGTATTCCATCTTATTTTCATGTCCATGTCAGTTTATCCATTTATAGGTTGAAATGGCCACGTGACAAACATTTGTGTCAGTAAATCTTTTTATAGACTGCCTTTTGGTGATATGATCAATGTTTAAGTCAATAAATCTATTTATAGGTTGTTTATGGTCATGTGACAAAGATTCAAGTCAGTAAATCTTTTTTTTAGCCTGCTAATGGTCGTTTGACAAATGTTCATGTCAGTAAATCTTCTTATAGACTGTTAATGGTCATGTAATAGGTGTTTGTGTCAGTAAATCTATTTTTAGCCTGCAAAAAGTTGTACGACAAACTTTTATGCCATTCAATCTATTTATAGGCTGCTTATGGTCACATGGCAAACATTCATGAAAATTATATAAATTTATGTCTTGAAGTATATTCATAGACTGCTAATGGTCATGTGACAAATGTTCATGTCAGTATATCTATTTATAGCCTGCTAAAGGTCATGAAACAAACATTCATGTCTGTCAATCTATTTATAGGCTGCTGTTGATCATGTGACACTTGTCTCATGTCAGTGTTTCTATTTATAGGCTGCTGTTGATCATGTGACACTTGTCTCATGTCAGTGTTTCTATTTATAGGCTGCTGTTGATCATGTGACACTTGTCTCATGTCAGTGTTTCTATTTATAGACTGCTGTTGGTCATGTGACACTTGTCTCATGTCAGTGTTACTATTTATAGGCTGCTAATGGTCATGAAGAATGTGTGGATGCCTTGTTACATAATGGTGCTGATATATCGATACAGGATCATAAAGGTCGTACAGCACTACATTTATCCTCTCTGTGTGGACATGTAGGACTTCTAGGATCAATGTTATTGGTATGTAATCTTTACATTTATACACATTATATAGGGATTGTTTTTGGCAATTTTTTGCCCCTGGAAATTTATGTATGTCTACCATTTTTAAGCAATTAGTGAATATATTTTTCAAAGGCCTACTTTAACTTAGCTAAGTAAGCAATGGTAAGTAAAGACTTTATTTATCGAGGCTACACATTTGGTTTCTCAATCTTCCATGACATGTGATAAATTGTGGTAAGCCTGGTTAGCTATTTTTTCTTTAAAATTGTGAATTTGAACCACTTAAATTTAGTTCTTTATATTAAAAGTTTTGTACTGTACTATTGTTAATTTGAAATTGTTATTTATTCTGATTAAATCTTTCTATTTTTTCAATTGATATAAAAGTTCAAAGTAGATATATTTATTTTTGTTGTTGTTGCGGGGTTTTTTTAAACAACATTTTAGATTATATTTGTAAAAGAAACATGAAAGGATACAGTTTTGTTTTGTCTACTTTTTCAGATGGGACCATTAGAGAAACTTCATGATAGACAAGGCTATACACCTCTTCATTTTGCCTGTTATAATGGTAACTTTTTATCTTACTTCATTTTAATCACTACCTGATACATAAAAAATATTGATGGTATATTCAATATGTCTGTCAGCTTAGCTCAAAGTGCTGCCAATATCCCGCAGAATTCCTTAATTTTTATGTGCCAGAGACCATTCTGCAAAAATTCAGTGTAAATGCAATAAAGACATCCATTCTGGTCTTAGTTTCAATAAAGGTATTAGACGCTTCCCGGAAGTTTTTGCTCTGGTGATACATGCATGTATCTCAGGAGCTGAAGGGGGCCCCCAAAAGAGCATTGTCCTGGACCTGCAAGGGGCCTACATGGCCCTCTAAACCCCTGCAAAAAGTTCTTCCATTTTCACTCCTTGTTGTTGGCAGGCTTGGCTAAATAGGGTGAGCGTCAGATTTGTCATCCAGAGGTGGCTTGTTTGATCCTGACTCATACATTCAGTGTAATGGACATTTGTCTCTCACTCCTCATTCAGAAATTATGTGAGATTAGTAGAAGCTTCCTTATGGAGAAATCGGTTTAATCACACTTGTTAGTTTTTCAGGAAAGCTAGTTTGGTGGATAGGATCACCAAGATATAACCAAATATTGTTAAAATTGAAAACTGAACAAACTAAAAAAAAACAGTATAATTAATATTGTATGTCATGATATGTACATTAACATTCTAAAATTGATGGTAAAACTTTGCTGAAATCAAACATACATGTAATAACACATATCTTACTGAATCTTTGTAATGGACTTTTTCCATTTTCATCCTGTTACAGATATGCGGCCCTGTCAGGTTCATGGATATGCAAAGATGCTGGTATATTTTCATCCTGTTTGCAAAGGCTATGCATTATCGCAGTTTACACTATAAAGATTAAGAAAGTAGACCATTAAATTATTTCCTCAATTTTATTTTTAGGTCATGAGGCATGTGTGGACCTGTTATTGGAGAACGAGGAACATCGGCAATTCTCAGGGAACTCTTTCTCACCTTTACATTGTGCTGTGTAAGTATATAAAAATTCTCAACATTATATTCAGTTGTGTATGCTTATAGTAATGATAACAAGAGCACCAAAGTGGTGTTAACAATCTGTTTTAAATTCGTAGTTAAAATGGAGTGTAACTCCAAATATATTGCTTTCAGAATTATGTCCCTTGTCGTAGAACTGCACCTTGTCATGATATGCAAGCATTCCAAGTTTTATGTTTAAAATGTTAATAAATGGGCTACATTGAAGTTTTTGTATGATGTCAACAACGATGACAACAATGATGTCGCAGTGATCATAACTGCTGGACTTTCTCTTCTAAACAGACAAGCTAAAAATAAAAGAACAATCAGTAATCAGAAAAAATATTAACAAGGACAAGTTGCCACCTTATTGCAATAACGGGTTAAATCCTGTTATTATTTAATAGGAGTTTACCTGTTATTACACTAAGGTGATGAAATTTATATGTCTTGTAGGCAAATCCATAATACATTGAGTGGGACGTGTATATACCAATCTTGTAGGCAGTGAAAGGGCCAAGTGATAAGCTTAAGATTTACATTGTTTTGTTGGCAAGAGTTTATGGAAATATAATCCAGTGACAAATACAGTTATCTTTGCTGGTTGTAATTTGATGTGTGTTTAACTTAATTACAGGTCAAATGGTAATGACAGCTGTACAGATTTGTTGCTGGACATTTTAGGGGATACCATAGTTTAACCTCCAGGACTCAAAAGGGCAGGTAATGACAGTTTTTACAACATTTGTAGTGAAATTATTTCCATACAACCTCGATTATTTAAGAATCGGCCTCTGTGGGCTGAGTGGTTAAGTTTGCTGACTTCAGATTAATTGGCCCCAATAGCTGTGGGTTTCGAATCCTTAAAAAACTTTTTGATTCTCCTCTTTTTGAATGCACCTCAGAGTGAAGGCTATCCAGCTAGCTTGCACAGTGTTGGCAGTTCTACTCTAGTGGTTTCGCTTTGCCTAGAAAATTTATCTATATAAGTACTAATTATATCCATGCAAGCTCTAACCTTACCACGCTAAAAATCTTAAATGAACTCATCTATCTTATCATTTGGACAAAACCATTCATCATTTCCAAGGGAAAAATTTTAAATGATATATTGACTAGGGGCGTCTGTGGCCGGGTGGTTAAGGTCGTTGACTTCAAACCATTTGTCCCTCAAATCCCCAAAGGGGCTGGATTCTTTCATGCAAGGAAGCTATCCAGCTAGCTTGCTGAACGCCGGTGGTTCTACTCAGGTGCCCGTTTGTGCCAGAAATAATATACGGAAGGTCACCTGAGGTCTTCCTCCACGAGTAAAGCTGGAAAGTTGCCATATGACCTATACTGTGTTGGTGTGACGTAAATCAAACAAACAAATATACTGACTGAACAGTGCAGACAGACCATAATGTGCCGGCTGATCTAGGTCTGCACTGGTGTCATAAGACGATTTAAGTTGCCACTAGCTGTAGCTGGCTTTGATTAATAATTTAGAAAATGGGGTATAAACAGGAACCAGGTTTAAATCATGTAAATATATGAAAAAATGAAAAACTTTTATATTTATAGGACCCCAGTTCATGCAGCAGCCTACAGGGACCAAGTTGAATCTCTACAGTTATTATTGAGTCATAATGCCTTAGTTAATACAACAGACAACTTTGGTAGAACACCAGTGATGTTAGCAGCTTCTCAAGGTCATTTAGCCTCAGTTGGTAAGTAGGTCAAGGTCATTTGAAGAGAATGTGATTTTAGCAGATCTTCAAGGTCATTTAGCTTTAGTTGGTAAGTAAGTCAAAGTCACTGGAAGATAATTTGATTTTAGCAGCTTCTCAGGATCATTTAGCCTCATTTGGTAAGTAGGTCAAGGTCACTTGAAGAGAATGTGAGAATCTCTTAGTGTGCTTGCAATTTTTACAAAATATTTTGTTTTTCTATCTTATCTTATTAATTTAATGTTCTGATTTATTTCAATATGTGGTTTACTTAATTTAAACAACCTGTTTATAAGCAATAGCAAAAATCTTACATTATTTTGGATCATCCCTCGTACTCATTGTTTGCAGTACAAAATTTGCTTGTATTATACATTTCAGAATTGTTAGTACAGAACAAGGCAGATTTGAGTCTTGCTCTGATGAGTCCCCAAAATACAGCTTTACACTATGCATGTATGAATGTAAGTAATGAAATCAGCTTCATTATTGATTTGTCTCCCTTTTATTTTGATCAAGAAAGACGTCTCAAGTGGAGTTCTTCTACATATATTTATAAAATTTATTGATAGTTCATCATGGTTATTTAGAGTGTTTTTGTGCAGAATGGTTGTATGATATCTAATTTATTTACTTAAAACCAGTATTTATTTACAACATATATATTTCAGGACCATGAAGTATCTAGCACTGTTAATTCTAGATAAGATAGACGACCTAAAAATGTAATAAATAAAGCTAATCAGGATATGAAAACGTAAGTAGTTTCAGTAGTGTTTTTTCTCTCTTGAAGCTGCATGCCTCCAGATGTGCCAAAATATTGATAAAAAACTTGAGAAAAATGTACTATAGTTTTAAGAAAAGCAAGAAGATCTAAGATTTACGTAATAATTTACATGTTATGTGCGATTAATGACTGGTTTTGGAGTATATATATCACCAGGTTACTATTGCGTTTTTACTACTTTTTGCCGTTAACAACGCAGTAAGGGCTATTTTTGCATATTTTGGGCTCTGTCTGAAATAATGGCCCTATATAAACAGTTGTTTGGAAATATAACCCAAGTCCCTAGACAAAAGGCTGTATATAAACTGGTTGTTTGGAATATAACCCTCGTCTAGTAGAGGGTTATATTGCAAATAGCCAATTCTATATACAGCCTGTTCCAAAAATTATTTGTAACAAATTTATAAAACAGCAAAGCAAACTGCCTTTTTTTTAGAGAAAGAAAATTGAGATTGCTTCATAAAATTTACAGGGAGCTTTTGGGATTTAAAAACTATGTAAAAAAATCATTTATTAAATCCAATTTAAAAGTGAAAGTTTTCAAAAATGCAGTATCAAAAAAAAATATTAAAAATTTATGATTATCCAATGAAAAAGTAAGTTACAAACGTTTCAGTTATTATAATGAAATTTTTCATTTTTATTATTTTTTGGTTTTTAGTGCCCTTTTTAAATAGCCCGGGGTTAAAAAATAGGATTAAAAACCTGGAAAATACAAAGATTTTAATTACTAAAAGGGGCCAGTCTTTTACAGCTGTTTGATATAAAAGGGAAAATTCAATTTACTTTCCCCTTTTTTGTTTTTGACTACCCTTTGTATGACAAAAATTTAAAACATAGAAATGTGGTTTAAGAACCCTTTGCCTTAAATCTTTAAAAAATATAGAGCGTTTTTGGGCCGGGGAATTTGTTCAATCCTTGGAGTTTCGGGTTTTGGACAGGGGCAAAAAGGGCAAAATTTCTTTTTTTGAAAATGTTTTTGGGGTTTATTTTTAAACTGAAACCTGGTCTTGGCAAAGTTAAGGGAATTAATCAGTTCCCCTTTTGGAAAGTTGGGGGTAATAGTAAATTTGGGAAAACTCTTAAAAGCCCTTTTAAAGGGAAAAATTTTTCAAGTTTTGGCCCCGAACAGTGGCCTTTTTGGGTTTTAAACAATGTGGTTTTACTTGGGTGTTTTAAATTTGAAGTTTAAAACTACCTTAAAAAAACCACCAACACCAAACTTTAAGATTTTAAAATTACCTTTAAAAGTAAAAATTAATTCCCAAATTTTCCTTTACTGCTTTTCCCAAAAAAAGTGATTTTAAATTTTTTGATATGTTCAATATTTCAAAAAATTTTTTGGGCCCCCTTTGTGTTTTGGGGTTTTATATTTTAAAAAAATATGTTTTCGGCGCTTTGCTTAAAAAAGGGTGAAGGGAATAGATTTTACTCCTTTGGGGTTTTCTGGTTTAATCTTTTGGGGGAAAACAAAATTTTCTCCCAAAACACAATTTTTATTTTCAGACAATAAAATTTTATTCTTTAAAGGGCATTTGTTTTCAAAACAAGCTGATTCAGAAAAAAATGTTTAAAAGTTTCTCGATTTAATGCAAGTTCTATTTTGAAAAATGTCCTTTATTTTTTTATTTTTCTTTTTTTTTGGGATTTATCTTAACCAAACCCGTTTTGGGAAAATTTTGTTATGTTAAAGGGGCCATATTTTAATGGGAAAGGCCTTTAAATAAACAAAATGATAAAAATGGGCCTTTTGACCCAAAAAATATAGGGTTTGGCTTGCTCATTTTTACATGTTTATATTTATTAAGTTACTGCTAATTAAGAAGCAAAGGCAAACTGCTTGGAATAAAATTTTGTTTGTTTTGTTTTGGGTTTTACATCACATCGACACAGTATAGGTCATATCACGACGTTCCAGCTTTACTGGTGGAGGAAGACCTCAGGTGCCCTTCCATGCATTATTTCAGGCACGAAGGGGCACCTGAGAACCACCGACGTTCCGATAGCTTCCTCACATGAAAGAATCCAAAGTCCCAGTCGGGATTCGAACCCACAGCGGTGAGGGGCAAGTGGTTTGAAGTAAACGACCTTAACCACTCGGCCACGGACGCCCCTTGGAATAAATCATAAATGTTCAAGTCTAAGGCTATTGAAACCAATCAGTGCTAGTTTCATATGAGAGAATATGGTTATGACAAAGAAAAAAGCTTGAACTCATAATCCCTTGCTTTGATAGGCAGACATAAGTTGCTGCAGGGCCGAGTGGTAAACATGTCAGAAAAGTAATCTAAAGATTGCTAGTTGCATAGGTTAAGGTTGTTACCTTGAATGAGAAACTACACTAATTGCTTAGTACTGGTTGGTTCCAGGAATGGATTCAAGAGTGTGTCTGTAAGCATAAAGCTTCCTAAACAATCAAACTAAAATTAATTCTGTATAAACTAAAGTTAGTCGTCTTAATTGCTAACCTACCTATTCATGTTTTTAGCATTTTGATGTCAAATTCCTATCGTAGCTCACAATGTACATTTCTGAAGAGACAAAACCAGACAATTTTTAATAGCTAACCTGTCACAAAGTGACATGGTGAGCTTTTGTGATCGCTTTTCTTCTGGTGTCTGTCCATCCCTCGTCTGTCTGTCCGTAAACTTTTACTTTAAACGACATCTCCTCATAAACCACTAAGCCAATTTCATCCAAACTTCACAGGAATGTTCCTTTTGTAGTCAACTTAAAAAATTGTTCAAAGAATTTAATAATTCCAAGCTGAACTCAGGTTCAAATAAAAGCCCTGGGGTCAAAATTGGCCCCACCCAGGGGGTCATTGTTTTTTCCCTTTATGTATATAGTAAAAACTTAAAAAATCTTCTTTTAAAAAACCTTTAGAGCTAGAGCTAAGATATTTAGCATCTTCTAATGGGTGTCTACCATTTTTGTTCAAATAAGGGCCTTGGGGTTAAAATTGGCCCCTCCCCGGGTGGTCATTGATTTTAAAAACTTAAAAAATCTTCTGTTAAAAAACCCAAAGAGCTAGAGTTTAGATATTAAGCATTAATTATCTTCTAGTGAGTGTCTACCAAGTGTGTTCAAATAAAAGCTTAGGGGAAAAATTGGACCCACCCAGAGGGGTGGGGGTCATTGTTTTTCCCTATGTGTAAAGTAAAAACTTAAAAAATCTTCTTAGAGCTAGAGCTTTGATATTTATTATGAAACATCTTCAAATGATTGTCTACCAAGTTTGTTCAAATAAAAGCCCCTGGGTTAAAATTGGCCCCGCCCTGGGGGCCTATATACAGGTGAGCGATTTCAGGGCCATCATGGATCTCTTGTTATACAAAACTTAGCATGTAAATTGTTATGACAAGCTTTGCTGATTTTTCTATATATCTACACTTATCTGGTCATGATTTTATATTCTAAACTTTTATTTATTTTTTCTATCTCAGGCTATTCTCCGGCTCTGTCCTGTGCTCCGAATGATCGTGTAGCCGACTGTCTCGCCATTATTTTAGCTCATATGTCCTTTGCTCCATCTATGTCTAGTACATTCATTCGATCAAGAAACGAGAATACTTCGGGATTCGGTAAGTATTGAAGAAATTCACACCTACATCAACACTAATGAATGGTTATTGTAAATTCACTTAATTTCGTGGCCATGAATTTTCGTGGTTTTGTCTCAATTAACATATTCGTGGGTTCTTAAATACACACCTACATCAACGCTAATGAATGGTTATTGTAAATTCACTTGATTTCGTGGCCATGAATTTTTCGTGGTTTTGTCTCAATTAACATTTTTTGTGGGTTCTTAAATTCCTAGACTGTTTATTTTTTGAAATGATTAAAATGAAAATAATGTGATGCATAATAATCTCATAGCAGACAAAAGTTGGATTTTAATTTTTAGCTCGACTATTCGATAAGAATAAGTAGAGCTATTGCAGTCACCCGAGCGTCGGCGTCGGCGTAACCACTTATGTTAAAGTTTTTGTAATAGTTCAAATATTTTCAAAGTCCATAGACATATGGCTTTGAAACTTTGCACACTTGTTCACCATCATGACCCCAACCTGTAGACAGGAGGAGGTAACTCTATCAAGCATTTTGACAGAATTATGCCCCTTTTTCGACTTAGAATTTACGTTAAAGTTTTTGTAATAGTTCAAATATTTTCAAAGTCCATTGACATATGGCTTTGAAACTTTACACACTTGTTCACCATCATGACCCCAACCTTGAAACAGGAGGAGGTAACTCTATCAAGCATTTTGACAGAATTATGCCCCTTTTTCGACTTAGAATTTACGTTAAAGTTTTTGTAATAGTTCAAATATTTTCAAAGTCCATTGACATATGGCTTTGAAACTTTGCACACTTGTTCACCATCATGACCCCAACCTGTAAACAGGAGGAGGTAACTCTATCAAGCATTTTTTTTACTATCAAGCACTAAGAATAGTCGAGTGTTGCTGTCCTACCGACAGCTCTTGTTTAGATTGACGTATCAGCGAAAACCACGAAAATTAGTTCCCCACCAATAATAATGATTTAGCAGTATATTCTTTCTTACTTTATTGGCATGTTTGAATGAACTCTCTGTTAAGCTTATGCAATTGATTTCTAGTGTTTTAAGAATTTAATAGAATAATTTCAATTTCGTAAGCATGCATGTAAATGATACAATTCAAAACTGTACAGTTTGTGAAGATAAAATTGATACAGAATTACATTTTATTTTATGTAAGAAAGCTATCCAACTAGCTGACAGAAGGCGGATGATTTTAATACACTGAAACCCCGTTATAATGCTCATATTGGGGTCCAAGACTTGACTGTCACATTGAACAATTGTTACAGTGGATAAGGCGCTATATAAATATACATAAAAAAATTATGATCCGTGATGAAATATGATATTATTTTGGGAGCCAAGGCATTATACTGGGGTTAAGATTATAACAGGGCACATTATAACAGAGTGGCAGTGTATTAAGCATAAGGGGGACTTGAGGTATTCATCAGCTAGTCTGTTTAGCTTTTAAAAGTCTTAAATTTCTTATTCTAAATTTTAAGTCCTGGCCCATGAATAAGCACCTATAAAGTCCAAGAAGTTAACAAGTAATAGTTTATTTTTCTATGATTACAGGGGGAACAAGAACTCTGGAAACACCAACAGAGAGCAGCTCAAAAGACCAGAGTCTTCAAAGTTCTGACTCGGAGTTTTATTAGCACATAAAGTTTTTGTTTAGAGTTTATTTATACTAATAGAATTATATACCGGTACTAGATATATAGCAACAATTTATAGGCTTTATTTGTTTGTCTTGAAAAGATTACTGGATCTCTTTTGTTATGTGATGTAGCTAACGAAGTTTTACTTTCGAGGCGTGGGTAATGTTTTGACCTAGATTTCTCTGTGTATTTTCTGTTTGTCCCTATAGTCGCCTATTAACAAATTTTTTTTCAGTATTTTTATTCTTTTGTAGAAAGAATTGTTTATGATTAAAAACAAAATTTGTACATTTTTGAAAAAATGTGTAAAGTATAATAAATTCACTTCTATTTTTCAATTTTAACTTATTTTTTTGCTAGGAGCATGATATAATTATAATTATATTCTAGCTGGAATTGTTATTTCTTTATGTTTACTGGTTTCTGTTTATAGTATATCCTTTATTAAGGATAATTTAGCACAGTGGAACGGTTAAAACTGTGTTAAAGACCACCTATTAATAAAGATGACCCTGAAAATAAATAAAAAATGGGATTTCTTTTCACCAACAGCTTAAGCTGGGTGTGACTAGTAATAGTGTTGATGTTTGTTAACATCATAATTTGTTTAAATAAGTAGAACCATGTAATTGTTTGAATAAGTAGAACCATGTAATAATAAAATAAATAGACAATATATTGTTTGTTTTAGTAAATTGAAGTTTTGCATTTTAGATTATATATATTATAGTTATAATGTATTCAACACTGTCCCAATCATGTTACAGAAATTAGTTGACAAGGAATTTCTTAGAAATTCCTGTAAATATATCAAGTTAAAGCTGCATGCCTCCAGATAAGTCAAAATATTTCAAGAAAATTAAAATTGAGAAAAATGTACTCAGATTTGAAGAGAAGTAATAAGATAAAAGATTCAATTTATAATTAACATGTTATATGTGAGTAATTACTCATTTTGCAGTATTAATCACCATAAATCCTTCAGGCTAATTTTGCATATTTTGATCTCTCTTTGGTAATTTATGAAGATTGTAAGCGCAATTTACAATGTGTAAGTTAACATCTTTGTTCACTTCACAATATTTTACTTTTAAATACATTTTTAAAAATTTGAAGAAAATTTGCATGAATCTGGAGGCATCCTGCTTAAACCCTAAATACTTTCCGATTAAAGAAACATCCCAAAAAAATTTTGATTTTTAAATTTTTTTCAATATAATTTAACATTTTGAATAAAAAAAAGGTAATGAGTAAACAAATAAATAGGGGGTTTTGTTTTTGTAGTGAATAGTTTTTCTCCCCTGTTTCCCCTGTGTTTTTAAAAAGAAAATTTATGTTAAAATACCGTGGAAAAATTAATGTCTTTATTCTTTTTAAAATGTTGATTTTAAAATGCCAAATACTATAGTCTGTCCATCCTTTTTACCGGTTTTCCATTTTTTATCACCCCTTTTAAAAACGTTGTGAATGACATTTTCAACCGGGCCACTTTTTCAGAGTAATAAGTGATTGATTTTTTAAAAAAAATTACACACCATAAACTGAAGTTTAAATTTAACCCCTGATGGTCTTTTAAAACATTGGTGTTCAAAATTGGCTGAATAATTGTAACGTGGATAGTTTTTTGTTAGTGGTATACAACTACATTCAGTACATAATTTAGCATTCAAAACTGCAATTTAAAGGAATAATCTAGTGGTCTGAAACCTTGTTTGAACATACAGGTATTATATATCCCAAAGCTTGAAATAGAGCCACATTATGTGTAAAAATTATATCCCAGCATTAAGTAAAAGATGGGGGAAACAAATTATACACTGAAATGGATGTTGTTTTTTTTTTTTTTGTATTGAACTTGTATGTACCTTTATCTTCAAAGCAATAGAAAACTTTTATTTCTAGTTTTTATTTTTGTAAAAAAAAAAAACCCATAATGTTATAAATGATACGGTACATATCAAATACTAAATATGGAATCATGAAACTTAAGTGTACTTAATTATGATTTCCTGATTACTTACCTTTGTTGATAATTGAAATATTAAATTATTATGATATCTGGATTGTCAAGATCATTTAGTAGGTTTATTAACCTTTTGTGTTTTTTTTTGTTGTTTTGTTTTTTTTTGGCGGGGGGAGGGGGTTATCTTTTGGTGTTTCCATACACTGTTTATAAACTCCTGCATTGAACAATTGGTGTTTATTTATTACCTGTATTGGTAACCATAGCTTGTTTATAAACAACAAAATTACTGTTGATAAAAATAATACTTACTGCTATTTACAAACCATTGTTAATATACATAAAAAAATTGACAAATATGAGTGTTTTTGTAGATTTATATATAATGTAACACTGCCATAGATTATGCATTTCTATTTCTACTATAGAGCTAGGTCCTAGGACATATTATAATGGAACTGGCATCCTGCCAACAAGATTAGTAGTCTTATGTCAGTGACTTGGCATCTTATTAACAGCTGATCAATAGATTTGCATTGTATTTAAGTATTATTGTAATATTGTTATTATAAAAAAAAATCATCGATGAATTTTCATAACATCATGATAAACTATAAAGATACCAAAGGCTGTCAAAATTGTATGCCAGTTGATTTATAGCAATGAAAAACGGCTCGTTTTCTGATATAATATCATATTTTGTAAATTTAATTCAAGGGTTTCACTGTTTAAAAAACTGTTAACAGTTTAAACCGTGACCTAATAACCATGTTAAATGTTTAACCAAACGTACTAATAAAATCGTAAGATTTTCAACATTAACTTTTTTCTTAATGACAAGATATGACATTTTGTTCATGTTTTGTTGTACTCAAAATGATTACAATGCATGTCGGAATAATTAATTAATAATTAAAAAACCGGGAATATGGATTTTTAGCTAAAAACGGACCTTACTGTTTAAAAAGATAAATGTGACACCTCTACATATATTTAATACAAGGCATTAGTGTGAAATACTAATTCAACATAGTTTTGAAATAATATAGACCATTTCCTATATTATTTCCATATTCTTTATCTACATTTCTTTTGTTCAGTCATCCATGAAATAGATTTGAAGTCCGAAATATGAAATATTGTGCCAATATAAGGCATTTCATATAAATTGCTTTTTAAATTCACTACACATGTAATAATTTTGTCACCTTAGTGGAATAACTGGTTAACTCCAATACAATTCATAAAGGCTTAACCCATTAATGCACTAAGGTGACAGTATGTTGTTCAAATATACGATATTGGTTATTTAAATTTATTGCTTTTTGCTAAATATTATGCTTAAGTTAAACTAATGAAATTTTTTGTATATTTATTAATACATTTTTAAAATTTAAATAAAATTACAGAAAAATTGTTGGGGCTTCAATTGATAGAACAATTTTTTTATTTAAGTAAATGTATGTAAACTATTTTTTGGTAAAATTTTTGAATAAGTGTGTTAAGTTTTTTCTTTCTTTTAAAAAAAAACAAAACACACACACTCAGAATGTTGGCTACTGGCCATTTTAGTTTTTGTTTGTTATAGCTGTATATTTATATTGGTGTTAGAAATTTTAGAAGTTTATATTATAAAGATTGTTTAGTGCTGATGGATCAGGTTTTCCGAAATAAAACTCTGGGTAGTAATAAGACTGGTGAATGCCAGTTTGCAGACTAAGTGGGTGACCGAGAATAAACAATTTCTCCTTTGCGTAAGTTTGACATTATTCAAGAGATTACATTTAATCTTTCATCAAATCATTGTCATCAAGTGTCCTGGCACATATTGTCAGGATTTTAAGATGTGTTATTTTTTAAGCAGAATTATGTCCAAAATTTGTTTGTTTTTTGTTGGTTATTTTTGCAGAAAGTGTGAAATGTACATAAGTCTTCAGAAAGAATTTTATTTAAAAATGTTGCCATGGCAACTAATGATAATACAGTGATCAGTAGTATTTAATTATTAATTTGATAATCTGGAAATTGATAGAAAAGGAGTCGAAAATACTTCAAATAATCAAAATCGATAAGAAAAACAGTCAAATTGTTTAAATTATCAAAGAAACTTAAAAAGGGGAGATATTTTCACAATGGATTTTTTTGATAAATTGGAAAAAAGGGGAGATAATTTCACAATGGATTTTTGATAAATTGTAAAGACGACAGTTCATTATTAACTCACAAGTATTGTGTATATATTTTTTCTTCTTCATTATTTAAAAAGAATAATTGTTGTATATTTTCTAGAGGCCAAATTATGTTTTTCATTAGTTATTCATCAGATTCCACAGCTCATTTTTCTGTCAGATCTGAAATGTTAGCAACTTCATAGTGACTGAGGATATGTTATTAGCTTTATAGTGACTAAAACTGCAGCTATTCATTATTTCAATTCAATTCAATTTCAAGACTTACAATTTTTCCATGCTCACAGATTGCTTCCTCAAATACAATTCATTGTTCATCATTATCAAGTTGTTTATTCATGTAGCATACACTATATCAATTAAAAAAATAGGGCAGAGAAATCAACAATTAAAATTCATTTGTAATTTGATGTAATTTTCTTTAACTCACATATTTACTTTGCCAATGTTATTAAAATTTAGCACATCTAGAATGAATATCCCTCACGGTGAGGGAAATTCTTTTCAAATGTGTATTTGATGTAAATTTTCCACTCTTTTCCATTTTTGTTTGCCCATGTTGTTAAAATTTAGCACATTTAGATAAAAAAAAACCCTCATTGTGAGAAATTTGTTTAAATTCTTTTCAAATGTGTAATTGAACATGATGTAAATTTTCCCAACATAAGTTAAAATCTTGTACAGAACCTTCATGGTAACTAAGTGAGATAATTTGTAAAGTTGGTGAGTAACTTATGAATCAATCTATATTTTCCAAAAGCAAACTCTTTCAAAAGTAACTTTACAGAAATTGAGTTATAGTCAATATAAAAGGGGAAAAAGGGACTTTAAAAGAAGAGAAAAAAATTGGTCGTTTCGTAAGGGAACCGGGTGGTCGTTATCGTAAGGAAGAATGGGTTTTATCTGGAAGGTAAACCGATGGTTTGGTTATCGAAAAGGAACCGGATGGTTGGGTTTTCTGTAAAAGGGAACCCGGGGGTTTGGTTTTCGTAAGGGGAACGGGTGTTGGTTTTCTGTAAAGGGAACCGGGTGGTCAGATAAAAGGCATTTATTTCTGTAAAATAACCAGATTTTTCATTATCTGTTAGACATCCAATTTTCAGATAAACCCAATGGCATAACGTAAATAACGGAGGTCAGTTTTATTTCCGAATGGGGCATTTTTCTGCCCGGGGAAAAGATTGGTCAGTTTCTGTAAGTAACGAATGGCAGGGAATCGTGACATAATCGGATGGTCATTTACCTGTAAGATAACCAGATGGTCATTTATCTATAAGATAACTGGATTAACAGATAACCGGATGGTCATTTATCTGTAAGATAACCAGATGGTCATTTATCTGTAAGATAACTGGATTTACAGATAACCGGATGGTCATTTATCTGTAAAATAACCAAATGGTCAGTTGTCTATATATTTTGTTTCTGTCATATAGTACCTAGTATTTTGTAATTAATTATTTCTTGACTGTCTGAGGGTATGCTACTATCTCCTAATACTGTATATATACCTATCATGTGATATCACCATTAATGCCTTTTAAATTACCACTGTTATTGACTGTGAAAAAACTCATTTCTTTACTTGTAAATAATGTTAATACACATTGTCACTGTACACTGTTACACTTCAGTTATCCCCCATCCATATACCTTGTTGGTTAATTTTCTGTTAGGCCAGATTTCACTGGAATAGTTAAAAAAAAAAGCAGTTTTCCTCCATCCATATTCCTTGTTGATTAATTCCCAATTAGTCAAGAGTTCATTGGAACACTTCAGAAAAGCAGTTTCCCCCATCCATATTCCTTGTTGATTAGTTCCCAATTAGTCAAGATTTCACTGGAATACTTAAAAAAAGCAGTCGTTTTTTCAAACACGTATTATTTGTTAAATTTACTCTCAGTTAGTTACGATTTCACTGGAACTGCAAAAAAGCATTTTTCCCCAACCCATATTCCTTGTTGATTAATTCCCAATTAGTCAAAACTTTATTAGAACAC